TCAGCAGGACTTCAACTGCGGTCGACTACGTGGGAGTCCAGCGACTTAGCCATAAGGCTAATTGCTGGTCCCTAGTAGTTATTTTTTATTATTAGAATAGATTTTATTCATTTATTATTATTTTGTTTTAGTTTTGCTGTAGGGTGTGTGCATTCACTAGAGAGATGGGGTGGGGTGTGGCAAGTGAAGAAACCACTTCCTCCATCCTGGGAGATGGCCTTGCTATAGTCTCTTCTCCTTTATTTGCCTCTCGGGATTTTGGGTACATATGCTCACGTGCCTAGTGTGGTGTTCTTTTTTCTTCTTCCTTCTTCTTTTTTTATTTTTTTATGATTTTGCTTTTTGTCATGCAAGCTTGGCGAGAGAGAGAGGGGAAGGGAGAAATGAGCAGCCCCCCCCCTCCTTGGGATGGGGGATGGCCACAGAACAATCCCTTCTTCAGTCATGTTGGTGGGGCACTCCAATCCCTTCTTCAGTCATGTTGGGATTTTGGGGCACTAATGTGTACATGCCTGGTGTGATTTTCAAGCCTTTGGGTCTGAGACTTGAAAAGCACAGTTGACCATGTGGGATCCAGTGCCTTAACCTCCATACTACCCACTGGATCGATTGTTATTATTTCGTAAAATGTGCCAGAGGGCATGAGAGAGAGAGAGACAGAGAGAACACCCCTGTGGGGATTGTTCATGCCACACTCCCTTCTTTATTATTCCTTCTTTTTGGGACTTTGGGAATGCATACACATGTGCCTGGTGAATGTTTGTTTCTTTGCTTTAGTTTGCTATTGGGGGTATGTGCTCACTGTAGATAGACCGGGAGAGAGGTGGAAAGTGAGAAATCATTCTCCCCTGGGCGGATGGCCTGGCTGCAGTTTCTTTTCAATTTTCATCTTGGGATTTGGGGCATGCATGTACACGTGTCTAGTATGCTTTTCAAGCTGCTGGGTCTGGGACTTGAACTGTACAGTTAACTATGTGGGTTCTAGCTGCTTTAACCACCATGGCACTGGTTGGCCCTTGATTGTTTTTTTTCGTTTTTATATTTTTATTTTTTATTATTTTTAAGAAAAACATTCGATCATTATACATAATTTGGATTACAAAGAGAACTCACCCAACATGAAATACCTCCCAGACCAGTCCAGCTGAGAACACTACACATGCTATCATCAACAAGCAATAAACCACCTCTGTGTTGTAAAAATGTTATGACTCTTCATTTTTACTCCCTAAATCCTTCACTATACTCTTCCCTTCTCCCCCACTTCCCCTTCGACACTGTCTTCCGTGTCCATAACCATTTCACTACAATAATTTCTTCCATTTCAGTCTCTCAATGTGGATAGTTATTGTTTTCTTTTAATGTCATAAAGCAAAAAATGTATTTGGTCAAACATATACTCTGATGAAAACTTTGGCTGTGTGATTTCCATTCCCCATGGAATTTTATAACTGCCATTATAATATGAAGTCTTTTGCACTTGCAGGATTCTTGGTGGAGTTGACCTTGTATGATCACTATAATTTTAGTGGATTGAATTATTTTGGTCATTATTGTCTGTTACAGATTTTATTACATTTGTTTGTTTTTTAGCAGAATAGTAAAAAGTTGGAGGCATATCCATGTCAAATCATCTAATTATGTTTCTCCTGTATAATTTTATAGCAATAGAATTATTTTGGCTTTATAGTGTTGACTAAAACCATATGGCTTTTTTTTTTTTTGAGAGGTTTTTGCTATAGGGCGCGTGCCCTCGCCAGACAGACAGAGAGAGACATAGAGACAGAAAGTGAGAAATCACCCCCCAGGGAGGATGGTCACGCCGCAATCCTTTCTCCTCCATTCTCCTCTCGGGATCTTGGGCACACACGCACACGCGCCTGGCGTGAGTTCTAAGCCACTGGGTCTGGGACGCTAACTGCTGGTTCCCAAACCATATGGCTTTTAAAAGTTGAATAAATACTCAAGGAATGTACTTAATAATGTTTATATTTAATTAATCGAAAGTAGAGAATAGTTTTTCTGAAAAGAATTAACTTCAGTTAAGTGGTACACATGGATGATTTTCTGAGATCTGGCCATTTAGGCTCTTTATCATTAATAAATAGCTAGCTGTAATTTTTGTTTATAAATAGAGTATTACCTAAATAGTTTTGATTTTGTATATAATGTTTAAAATATCAATTGGGACTTTACAACAAATTTACATGTAAGATAGAAAAATACTTGTCAGTTGTTAGAGCTTTCACCAATTTTACAGAGCAGAGAGCTTCATAGATACCGTACTTACTTATGGTGGTTTATTTCACCTTCATTTATCTGCCTGTAAAGTTTGTGTTTATACAGTTGTAATTAGGGTGTAGACTTTTTTCTTGTTTAATATTTTACGTATTATTACTATTTTTAAACTTGACCAGAGAAAAAGAGAAAGAGGAGGGAAGAGAGAGAGAGAAAGAGAAAGAAAATGAGAAAGCAAGCCGCCAGGTTCGGGACACTGTCAGCCATGTGAGAGTCCAACACTCTGAATCACCATGCCACCTGTTGGCCAAAATCAGCAGTCTCTGACCTTTCTGGCACCAGGGATCTGGTTTCATGGAAGATAATTTTTCTATGGAGTTTGGGAAGGATGGTTTCAGGATGATTCAAGTGCATTACATTTATCATGCACTTTATGTCTATTATTATTACATTGGCATATATAATGAATTATACAATTTACAGAATCAGTGGGAGCCCTGAACTTGTTTTCCTGCAACTAGACAATCCCTTTTGTGGTCTTTTATGAGAATCTAATGTTGATAACTGATGTGATAAGAGGCAGAGTTCAGGCTGTAATGCCAGTGATAGGGAAGGGCTCCAAATACAGATATAGCTTCGCCTACTTGCTGTTCACCTCCTGCTTTGTGGCCTGGCTCTGAACAGGGTGCATATAGGTGCCTGCCACTCTGTGGCCCTGGGGTTGAGGACTCCTGTTTGTTGTTTGTTAATAATTATTTATTTAATTTTATTTTTACTATTATTTCTTAATTTGATGATGGGGGGGTGTGAGAAAGCAAGCTGCCAGGTCTGGAATTTTAACTGTGGTCAGTCATGTGGGAGTCCAGCACCTTTACCACCATGCCACCTGCTGGCCCCTTGTTTGTTTGTTTGTTGTTTTTAAGAGTCTTTTTGCTGTGGGGCATGTGTGCTCACCAGAGAGACAGAGAGCCAGAAATCACCCCCAAGAGGGCGTGGTGGCCATGCTGCAATCTCTTCTCCATTATCCTCTTGGGATTTTGGGCACGCACGCATATGTGCCTGGCATGAATTTTAAGACATTGTGTCTGGGACTTGAACTGCAGTCAGCCATGTGGGAGTCCAGCACCTTTACCACCATGCCACCTGCTGGCCCCTTGTTTGTTTGTTTGTTGTTTTTAAGAGTCTTTTTGCTGTGGGGCATGTGTGCTCACCAGAGAGACAGAGAGCCAGAAATCACCCCCAAGAGGGCGTGGTGGCCATGCTGCAATCTCTTCTCCATTATCCTCTTGGGATTTTGGGCATGCACGCATATGTGCCTGGCATGAATTTTAAGACATTGTGTCTGGGACTTGAACTGCAGGCCACTACATGGGAGTCCAGCGACATAACCATTACGCTAACTGCTGGTTCCCTTGGTTGGTTATTTTTGAGAGTACCCCTCATCCCCATGATGTGTGTGCTTGCCTGAGAGCCAGATGGACAGCAAGAGAAAAATGGTGGGATGGCCTCGCCACAATGCCATTTCCTCCATTCTCTTCTCGAGATCTTGGACACACATGCATGCACGCGTGCCCGGCGTGAATTTCACTCCCCGGATTCAGGACTCAAACTGTGGTCGAGTATGTGGGAATCCAGTGACATAACCGTTATGCCATCTATTGGTCCTGATGACTCCTGTTTTAAATGATTGTTTTGAATACATAAGAAGGGATTTTAAAAGGTTGTGCATAAATGGGATTAAAGTACAGGTTTATTTTGGTATTAAAAATCTCAGAATCCAGTGACCAGCAGGTGGTGTGGTGGTTGAGGTGTTGGACTCCCACATGGCCAACCACGGTTTGAGTCCCTGATGGCTTGCTTTCTCACTTTACCTTTCTCTTTCTTTAGTCAAATGAAAAAAAAAATAGTAAATGAATGAAATTAAAAACAATTTCAAAATCTATGTTTAGTCTTTTTATAATAAGCATTTCCATCAACCTTTAATGACCCCTAGTCTTTGACTTTTTTTAAAGAATTATTTTAGTTACCATCATTATTATTTTTAAAAGATATTTTTTCTCACCATTTGTATTATTATTTTTAAAATTTGAACAGAGAGAAAGCGAGAAAGTCACCCAACAGATCTGGGACTTGAACCATAGTCAGCCATTTGGGAGTCCAGCACCTTAATCACCATGC